GACAGTGTTAATGTTTTAAAGGTAAACTCAAATTAAGAAAACAACAACAATAACAAACAACAAAAACCCGGTGTAATCTCACGAGTGGAGTCTGAGGTGACTAATGCGTACGCAGATTTTATCTCTACCTTGAGAAGATAAAGAAGTTGTTTTCGATAAATTCTCGACTCAAGAAAAGATGCAAAAAGAAGCAGTAACAACAAACAGTAATTTTAACAAGATAACAAGAATAACTAAGCAAAAAATTAAGAAAACAAGAACAAATATTGATACCAAAACAAAAGGATGATCTAACTTACCCATTCAAAGGCAAGCGAAGCTACAAGTCCAACAACACTCACCAAATGATGAATTAAGTTGTCAATCTTCACTTGCTTATCGAAAAGGCAACATACAAATCATAAATAAGATAGGCCAATGTAACTGCCATTGCCCTAATCTGTTTAATATTTGTCAGCATCACCATTAAAAATAGAATTAACTTGGCTATCTTCTTTTTTTTTTAAAAAGGAAAAAAAAAACAACAACATAATATTACCTGCTTGGGCGAAGATCTTGAAGCCAAAGGACAAAGTGGACAACTTCAATCTTGAACAGAAATAGAAGCTAATATTACTGCTAAAATTGCATGAACTGTGGAAACCAAACGGTTGCTGAAATCAAAAGAACGATTTGGAAATATTTCTTGTTAATAAAAATAATGTTGTCCATATACAACTCCAAATACCACTAAATTTATGATAGAGGCATTCATCTAATAGCAAATTCCCAGAACAGCAAAAAAAAAAAAAAAAAAAAAAAAAAAAAAAAAAAAAATCTTAGAATAAAAATAAATAAAATAAGAAACAGATAGATGAGATTCCTGTTAAGAAAAAAAATACAAGAAAGTTGGCCAGTAATATTAGTAACTCAATTCAAGAATTTCACTAACATTAGCACAAAATCTTAGAGCAGTATACTTAATTGTAGAAAACATACTTAAACTTTACACAATTAATCTTGGTAAATTAACCATTTAAAAATAGTAAAAAGGGAATTAAGAAACGGTACTGTAGATCATATTAATTACTCGTAGGTACTAATCTCGACGCATATTCATTAGAATTCATTTCTAGTTCTACACCTCGAAAAGAAAAAAACTTGCATTTGTTAGAATGTGACATTTGAGTTATGTGTCGTGTTTCTCTTTTACATGTCCCTTAAAAAATATTTTATTTGATCCATAATAAGTGATCAATTTGCTTTTTTATTTTGATCCAAAATAAGTGTCCATTTATATTATCAAGAAAAAATTCAATGTGTGTTTTTTCAAAATTACTCTTATGTACGTATCGCTAAAAAGTCTTTTACTTCTCACATTAACTATGTTGCAACATTTAATTAAGGGTAGTTTAGTCACACTAACTATTTTTTGTCTAGAATATTGTGTTTCCTTAACGGGTGTACCCAAAATAAATTTGTCACTTATTGTGGACCGGAGATAATATTTATTAGGAAAAGGATTGAACTATTTTACCCTTATTTATGTCTTAATATATAATCTCTCTTCATTGAATATTTATTCTGTTTATGTGTTATCTTATCTCCATCTTCAAGAACAATTATTACTAAGAATAAAAAAAGGAAAAAATAATTAATTTTGTCTTGAACTTCTAGTTTCAGATTTAATTCGTAATTTGTGAAAGACGCATGTACGAATAAAAAATATTAAAGCTTATCAATAACTGTTAGGATCGGGAACCCAGGTAGTGCGGAATTTAGCCAAACAACGGTATAATGGCAATAACAAAGACAATGAAAGTTGATAATAACGACAATTAAAGTAGATAAAGAAGACACAAATTTAACGTGGTTCGGTCAAAGTGACATATGTCCACAAGCTGAGAGGGACAATTTACTATAATAATAAGAGTACAAAAGAGAGTACAAAATTAGAGTAAATACTCTAATTAATCCCAAATACCCAAAGGGAATAACCTCACAAGATCACTCCAAAGAAAGGGTTCACACAAGTCCTTCCCAACACTTAACTCTCATACAAAACACTCTTAATAAGGGAAGAAAGGAAGAAACAAGAAACGAAGACTCAAGTCTTGTTGGTGTGTCTAAAATGAACTAATGACCTTCCCTTTTATAGGCAAAAAAGTCTTGGCCTCTTAGGTGTAAAAGAAGAGATACAACTTGTGTAAATGATGTCCAACACACAATGCAATATTTTTGGGTCCCAAAGAATATTGCCAACAAAGTCTACACTTTGCAAAGATGCTTATGCTTATATGAGATGGACTCCATTAGCTAAAATATTGGCCATAATTATAAATATCCACCTTGGCCTAATTTTGGATGATATAGTAAATTTTTTCCACCTTCTCCGCAAAAGCCCCAATGGGCATATATCAAAATTTAATGCCATCAAAATCAGACAAGTTATCTGATACCGAAACTGTAGTAAGGCCTATAACAGTGGATCCCAATAAAGTATACAACGAACCAGATCTGTGTGCTTTCATGATCACAAGAGCACCATGAGAAACTTTCAGAACTCCACCTTCACCTGTGTACTTGCACCCAAGAGATTCTAGAGTGCCCAAAGAGATGAGATTTTTCTTCAAGTCAGGAACATGTCTAACATCAGTGAGAATTCTCACCACACCATCGTGCATTTTGATTCGGACTGTACCCTTTTCAAAAACTTTGCAGGCAGCATTGTTGCCCATCAAGACAACTCCACCTCAGATAGATTCATATGTGGTAAATAAATACCGATTGTGACACATATGATAAGAATAACCCGAATCTAAAATTCACTCATTGTTAGATTTGAAACTATTATTAGTTGCTAAAAAAATAGTTCCCTCAGTCTCATCAGCATCTACACTTGCTTTGGCAGTATCAGTATTTTTGTGCTCATTTTTCCTTTCCTTATGCTTTTCTTTATTTTTCAGCTTATAGCATTCGAAGATATTGTGACCTTTCTTATGACAATAGCGACACTGTAAATTATTGTATCTGGATATGGAGTCGGATTTGCCCCTAACAAATAAGCCAACTTCCGCTTGAGTTCCACTAGCTTCCCAGTAATATCACTATCTATTTGTTCTTTTGATTTTAAGATAGGTTTAATATCCTTATAAGAGATATTATCCTTTGCATAAAGTATAGTATCTCTTATATGCTTAAAAGATGGGGGTAGAGAACAAAGCAGTAACATGACTTGATCCTCATCTCTTAATTTCAACATCTATATTACTCAAATCCATAAAAATGAAATCAAAGGTGTCAAGATGAGAGAGAATAGAGGTACCTTCACCCATACGAATTGTATAAAGTTTCGGCTTTAGGTAAAGTCTATTTTCCACTGTCCTCTTCATATATAAGGTTTTTAATTTTTTCCACATACCTTTAGCTGTGGTTTCTATAGAAACTTTACGTAAAACCTCATTTGAGAGATTTAAAATGATACCTGCTTTTTTCTTTTTGTCTATGATGGTAAACTCCTCGTCCGTCATTTTATCCGGCTTCTTTTTCTTTTCTTGCAATGCCAAGTCTAAGCCATCCTGAATTAGGATAGTTTTCATCTTTAATTGCCACATTCCGAAGTTTGTACTTCGGTCAAATTTCTCAACATAGGTCTTTGTTAGAGTCATTTTGGCTATTGAAACTAACCCGGTTAGATCCGACTTTGATACCAATTTGTTAGGATCGGGAACCCAAGTAGTGCAAAATTTAGCCAAACAACGGTATAATGGCAATAACAAAGACAATGAAAGTTGATAACAACGACAATTAAAGTAGATAAAGAAGACACAAATTTAACGTGGTTCGGTCAAAGTGACCTACGTCCACAAGCGGAGAGAGACAATTTACTATAACAATAAGAGTATAAAAGAGAGTACAAAATTAGAGTAAATACTTTAATTAATCCAAAATACCCTAAGGGAATAACCTCACAAGATCACTCCAAAGAAAGGGTTCACACAAGTGCTTCCCAACACTTAACACTCATACAAAACACTCTTAATAAAGGAAGAAAGGAAGAAACAAGAAATAAGACCTCAAGTCTTGTTGGTGTGTCTAAAATGAACTAATGACCTTCCCTTTTATAGGCAAAAAAGTCTTGGCCTCTTAGGTGTAAAAGAAGAGATACAACTTATGCAAATGATGTCCAACACACAATGCAATATTTTTGGGTCCCAAAGAATATTGCCAACAAAGTCTACACTTTGCAAAGATGCTTATGCTTATGTGAGATGGACTCCATTAGCCAAAATATCGGCCATAATTACAATAATAAATTTTTTACATCTCGATTATGGATATTACTTATTAAAAGGAAATCGTAAACATTTTCTCTGTTTCAATTGGGTACTGAGCAGCTTCCGCCACCGGCCCGGTGCTGCCGCCATCATGTGGTTTTGCTTACTCTGCTCTCTTATCTGTTTTTTTCTTTTTTGTTTTCTCGTTGCTCTTATTTTTATTTTTTTCTATTTTACTATTTTATTTAATTAAGAAATGGCAAATTAGACATATAAATTTTTTAAAAATTAATAGTAATGAATTAATCGATTAGATTTTGAAGGGTTATACCGCGACCTAACGCTTAGCCCATCTTGATCTAACATATCTAGCGGTAACATTGACTCACCCATTTATTGATATAAAAGTAATTAATAGTAAGGCATGTATTTGGAAGTTCTGTTTTCTTTGAAATGTTTTACGCTGTCCTTCGACTGGATGAAGCAAAGAATTTGAATCAAGTGCACACTACATTGTTAATACTCGTGTTGATCATTTTGCATGCACTAATACTATTTTACTGAGTAACTGTTATCTTTTATCAATAAAGGTATGAGTGACTATACATATCAAGCATAAACAGATGAGAATAAATCACTTATAGCATTTTTCGCGATTTGAAAACGGACACTTCATTGTTAAATCTCGTTCGCTTAACAAATTTGAATTGGGGCAACATGCCACTGATCTTTTTGTGCCAAAGATGTTGAAAGTAGTTTTGTTCTATTAGGGGAAAGGGTGACTTTGTTTCTCCTCAAAGCTAAGAAGTTTGATACGGAAGAATTTGATTTGCTCTATGATACAAATTATCAGCAAAATTACATATTTGAAGGAACAGTTTTAGGTTTAGTTCTCCTAGAGAATTTGTACATGATCATCCTAGCAATTTTATAGAACCAAAAAGCACTAACAAGTTGCAGTCCGAATGCCATGGCCTGGAAAATCATATAAACATTATGTCACCAATTTGATATTTTAAAACCAGCTTTTGCTTTAAAAGAAATTGTGTATTACATAATTATAGAAGCACTTCTAATTACCTTAATGAGGACTGGATTATCAGCAGAAAGAGTCACATAGGTTAGATATGGCCCCCCTATCATCCTAGCACTGCTGAAAATAACTGCAAATAATACCTGCAAATTAAAGCATAACCATGGTTTAGTGACAGGGCAAATGGACAGCCCGGTGCATAACACATCCCGCGTTCACGTAGGGTCCGAGGAAGGGCCGTACCCTACGGGGTGTGATGTATACAACCTATTCTAATGCAAATATAAAGGTTGCTTCCACGGTTCGAACTCGTGACCGGTAGATAACCATGACTTAGTGATTACATATATACATATTGAATTGTCATTCCATTGATAATGTTATTCTGTACAATTACAAATTTTAACTTTCACATAGTATTTTCTCTAACTAAAAAAATCAACTGCAACTTAATAATTCTACTATTATATATTATTTTAAATCCATTATCTAGTTCAACAAAATTTCTTTATAGCGTCAGTAAAGTAGATAAATTAGAACTTGAGAAGCTAATATCAGCTGCAAGATCTAGATTGGTGTCTTATAAGCTAATAACTTAAAACACTGTTCCACTAAATTAATATCATGTAAAATGATACAACAACAATATACCTGGTGTATTGTAACAAGTAGGGTTTGGAGAGAGTACTATGTACGTAGACCTTACCCCTACCTTGTGAGGGTAAATAGACTATTTTCGAAAGACTCTCGGCTCAATAAAGGAAATAATACTTTTCTTTAAATTGGAAAAAGAATATATTAGAATTGGAGAAGCTAACATCAGCAGCAAGATTAAGGTCAGTGTCTTTGTATCCAAGCTCTTTGAGAATCTCCCTCAGGTGTAGGAATGGACTTGAAATTTCTGTCAACCACAATGCTGCTACCATTTCTGAACCACACTGCATATCACAAAACATTTTATAGACATAAGTTCGTTATCATTTTTATCAGGTTATTAAATAGACGTCGACATGTAATTATCTTATAATTGACTTGCTTGTATAAATATGTTTTACACAGACGACGCATAGAATTTAAACTATCTTTCAAGTTATTAAGTCGTTTTTTTTCTTTTTGAAAATACTTTTTACAATATGATAATGCTAAAATTCGTATTAGTTAAACTCTAAAAGTAATTACAACCATAAGAAGAAAATCTTACTTACCCATTCATAAGCAAGCCCAGCTCCAAGTCCAACAGCACTCACCAAATGGTGAATTAAGTTATCAATCTTCACTTGTTTGTCAAAAAGACAACATACAAAATCATAAATAAGGTAGGCCATACTCACTGCTATTGCCCTCATCTGTTCAGTTTTTTGAAACATCACCATTAGAGCAAAACTTTAAAATCTTCTTAATTTTAAAAAAAAAATCCAATACAAAATACCTGTTTGGTAGTAGATCTTGAAGCCAAAGGACTAATTGGGAAACTCCAATCTTGAACAGAAATAGAAGCTAAAGTTACTGCTAAAATTGCATGAACTGTTGAAACTAAACGGTTGCAAAAATCAAAAGAACGATTTGGAAACAATTTTCTTGTTAATAAAAATAATGTTGTCCATGATACAACTCCAAATACTATCAAATTTATGATTGACGGGTCCATTTAGCAGCAAATCCTCAGAACAGGAAAAAAAGTTTTTTCTTAGAATAAAAATAGATAAGAGAGGATTTCGGATAAGGAAAAAACAAGAACCGTCGGCCAGTAGTATTAATAAATAATTAACTTAGTTCGAGAGTTTATTAAATGTATATTAAGTTGGGCAGATAGCTGACGATTGAAATTCATTGCATTATTTTTCTGAAGTCTAATACCTAGACGGTTGACCTACCTCCAGCTAAAAATTAATTTTTTCTCGGGAAATTTTTAGTAACCTATTTACTATTAAATTCGGCGTTGAGAATAAACTTTTTAATTGCTCAACGAGTTTGCTGGTTTTTTCCTTGTAATAATAAAGTAACAATAACAGGTCTCTAAAATTAAGCCTTTGTCTTTTGTAGTGTTGCTTTGTTGTATTTATAACGTGGGTTGTCGCAGATTGGCTCTAATTTTTAATCTTCAAAAGAATATTCTTTTGTTGTGCTATGCTTATAGTATGTAAATATTTATACCAAATCAATATAGGAATGACATGTATTTGTACGTTCACTTCTCTCCTTTAATCATAATTAATTAATATATATCATCACCTCATAAATAACTTAGCCATGATAAGTGCTAAATTACGTTGCAATAGTCTGGTGTAAATAACCAATGCAAATAAATTTTTACCTGATTGAATTGTAGTTATATTTTCCCAATAATGAAATTAATTCACAAAACTAAAATCATTATCATACTATATTTGTACATTAATGATTATTCCATTTGTCGTAATTTCATAATTTGCCCGTAAAAAAAAAAACCTTGTAACTTAGACGTGTCAAATTCTGATGCACATGATGTATTTCATAAATAAAAGAAGAGGCTTTTCAACGTATTAATTGAAGCTGTAAAGACTGAGAGGGGACAGAATTTAAAAAAGAAATAACGAATCATGGTGATATTTTTGGAATATTGGATAGGAGTTGTTCGACGATCGATGATTGCTATCTTTAGCTTTTGGGTGTTTAAATATTAGTACATAATTGCACCAAGATTCCGAAATCATACCATAAGATTCATTTTTATGATTATAATAAAGCATTTGAAATACAGAAAAAAAATTAATTTAGGTAATATTTTCAAAGGAGTTGCAAATAGATCTACCAATTCATCAATTATTAATAATTCTAAAACGACTAAGCTTACATTACATGCAATATATCTAAAATTACTCTGAAAAAATATACTAATCATTGGGCCAATAAACTCTAAAAGAAAGTCAGTACTCTTGGCGGAAAACTACAAAACCGCTTTAGATTCAATGTATTAGGAGTGTGATCCATAGTTCTAGTTGTTTTTCTGTTTGAAATAGTTGGCAGTATTATAGCTAGCTATGGTTATGTAAAGATGCTACTTGGTGATTAATAAAAATAAGTTAGTTACCAACAAAAAAAACTATAAACCACTCGAAAGCGTGAGGTGAAAAAATGTTCGTTGTCGGGAAAAAAACTAAAAGAATTCAGGTCTATTTTGACTTTTGAAGTAAAAAATCTCTTTTAAGTCTGAATATTCTCTTCGGTTCATTTTAATCAATTTTTCGCTTTTTTGCGATCTATAATATTTGATTTTTTTTAAATATAAAAAATAAGTGAGTTTCTTTTTTTCAACGTTGCCATTGGATAAAAAAATCTTGGAATATCTGTTAGAGAGGTGCTAAACGGCCACACTATTGTAGCCCAACTGTGGCCACACGAGTAAAATTACATCAACGACCTCCTAGTTATTTAGCCCTATAATTTTTCCTCCAAAACAAAAAATTAAATATGGAGAGACTCTTCCTATTCCCAAGCATTGAGCTATATGAAAATCATCCATGTTCACATACGGAGGAAGCTAAAGAGTCTTTACATTATATTGTATTTCCATTGTATTTTATGTGTATAGCAAATTATTGTATTTTATTTAAAATAATACGGTATACGTTTTAGTAGGAGGAAAAAAAATTGAATTCATCATATTTAGTAGTATCAACACTTCCTCCTTATCAAACCAAGTCAAAGTGGACACTTTCTCCTTATCTAAAAATGGATTCAAACCAAGAAAATTTGGCGGTGCAAGAAAATATGAATCCAAATGAACATTACACAAATATAACAACCATGAATATGAACCAAGATAATAGGTTTGATCGAGTTAGGGACGAGTTGTACAGATATTTAGGGATAACATCGGACGACAGTTTGTTGAATGAATACGAATGGATTAATATTGATTCTCACGACAGTTTCAACAATGTTGTGCACTTAGATAATGATGATAAAGAACCCGATGGAGAATATTATGGAGAAGCTGGCGATGATGAGGAGCAGTTTTTAGGAAATGAGTTAGAGTTGTGTGATGTTCATCAGGAAATGGAGAATGAATTCACTGAAGGTAATGTGGCTGTAGGTCCAATCTCTGGAATGCGATTTAGAGATAAAGATTCTGTGTGTGCATTCTACAAAGAACATGCACGATTAAAAGGATTCTCCATCGTCAAAAGAAATTCCAACAAGAAGGGTGGTGACACTACTAGGTACATAACTTACTGTTGTGATAGAGCTAGGATTCGCAAAACCAAGTTTATCACCAAGAGTAACAATTGTAAAGCTAGGCTTGTGCGTCTATAAGGTCGTTCACGATCGCAATTATGATTTGCTCCCTTCCATATAGCGCCTGATGGCTGGACATAGGTCCGTTTGTGATTCTTTGAAAAGGGATCTTGTAGCTCACGGTCAATCTGGCATTAGACCCTCCAAGAATATTAGACTTGCTGAGGTTCAACGTGGTGGACCGCAAAATTTGGGTTGCACTCCAAAAGATTATAGAAATTTTATTTTAAAGAGTAGGAATTTTGAAATGCAAGAAAGGGATACACAGTCACTGCTCAACTTTTTTCATGAAATGGAGGTAAAGGATAAGGAGTTTTTCTATTCAATAGACGCTGATAATATTGGTAGGCTGCGAAATGTGGTATGGGTGCATTCACACTGTAATGCAGCGTATGAGCAATTTCATGATGCGATATGCTTTGATATGACGTACCTTGTGAATCGATATAATATGCTATGTGCTACATTTATTGGCATCAATCACCATAGACAGTCCATCTTACTAGGATATGCTCTCATGTCTCATGAAGATATCGATAGTTATAAATTGGTTTTTAGAACTTGGCTTGAGGCCATGGGAAATGTTCATCCAGATGCGATCATAATTCACCAGTGTCCTAGCATTAAGTCAGCCATTGCTGAAGTGATGCCACATACAATACATAGGTATTGTATTTGGCATATATTTTCAAAGTTGCCTCTTTACTTAAGTGGTGTTCGTCCTTCTAAAATTGCACGTGGAGATATTAAATTCATGGTCCTTAATAGTATTACTGTTGAAGTTTTTTGAGAGAAAATAGACAGAATATATTGCAAAATATAATTTGCATACAAGGAATTGGTTCAACAAGCTTTACTCTGAGAAGGAAAAATGGGTTCATATGTACTTTGATGTGTATTTTTAGACTGGTATGCTATCTACGCAAAGAAGTGAAGGGATGCATGTGTTCTTTGATGGATATACTACCCGTCAAAGTACTCTTAGGATGTTTGTTCACCAGTATGAGTTAGCTATAAGAGCTAAGCATGAGAAAGAGTTGGAAGCGGAATACAGGTCAAAGGGCTTTCAAATTGTGTGTGAGTCATTGTTCAAGTGGGAAGAGCAGGTAATTCAGTGTTATACGCGTACAATGTATGAAGTTTTCAAGACGCAACTAAGGAAAGTATATCATTGTGAAGACAGCAGCCCCGACGATCATCAAGTTGTCCCTGGTGTTGAGAAATTCATCGTTAGTGATTATTCAGTTGTACAAAGAAATGGTGGAAATCCAATAGAGTACACTGTTTAATATACACCTATCAGCGATTATTTTAGTTGTAGCTGTAAATGGTTTGAGTATAGAGGGATACTTTGTTGCCATATACTCAAGATCTTGTCGCACACGAAAATTGATAAAATTGATGAAAGGTATATATTGACAAGGTGGAGAAGCGATATTATTAGCGCACACTTGAATCGGTTCCATCAAGTTGGTTACCCAAACATGACTCCCGAGTACAAGACATACAAGAGCATGTTGAAGTATTTTGACATGGCTTGTGTTATAGCACTGGGCACTAGCGTGAAGGTTCAATATATTAAGCATAATTTGAAGATGGTGGTGCATGATCTTCAAAACTGGGACGACGAAATGATCGTACCAAACCCCCAACCCATATGACTCAGATGAAACTGAAGGCACAACTCTACGAGATTCCGAGTACACTCGTTCACGTGGCAGGCCGTGTTTGAATCGATATAGAGGAAGAATTGAATACTACTTTACAAGTTTACAGTCACGTGGTGTATTTGGAGCTAGTAATGGCGGAAGAACTGGTGTTAGAGGGGGTGGCAGGATTGGTGACAGTGGTAGTGAAAATCATGGTAGTAGAGGTGGCGGTAGAAGTGGTGTACGCAGGGGTAGGGGTAATGGGCAAGGCAGGGGTACAAACATTGAGCACGATGGTTCTCTAGGTGCGAATGAGGTATAATTTTGCAACTATATTTGATTTATATTACTTAAACATATCATTTTTTTTATAGTGTTTGTTTGATTTTAATTGCAGCAAATTGATGCTACACAATCGCAATCAAACTTGTTTGATCTCAATACCGAACCAGACTTGGAACTATAATATTTGATAAAGAATATTGCTGAAACTTAGAGTTCTCAATAGGCCTAATTGCATTGTTATTTTATTTGGTCCAGGACTTTTTGTTTTTGAAGAAGTTTTGCTTGTTTTGCATAAACTTTATTGTTTAATGATTTATGAAACTTAAACATATCATTTTTTCTTATAGTGTTTGTTTGATTTTAATGGTATATTAGCTACTGCATTATTGTTGCTATCTCTTCCCATGATTTTGGATTAGTTACGTTGTATTCTAACTTCAATACTTGAAATAAAATTGTTCTAACAAAGAGATTGCAAAAAGCATTTGCTCGATGCCAAAATTTTGTCGTGTTGAACTCTAAACCTTTGTTGTCTGGGTTCGAGACAAGTACCGACATTATCTTTTTTTATCAACTCACTAATAAAGGTATTAAAGTATTTGTAATATTGAATCCAACCAGAAATGCCGATAGACCCTCTGGTTGATCAACTCTCTAAGTTCATTCTCTTTCATATGCTGCCAAGGTTCGAAACCTGGCCGCAACATTATTTTTTTTTAAAAATTATTCTTTCCCTTATTAGTTTGTTTTCATCCGAATAGTCTAGGTGGTTGAATTGTATTTAATATTTTGGTTTCCAATACTTTGAATCACTAATTAATATAATTTTTCGTTATTCATGATGACTTTTTTAATACTCTATGACCAAATGAATTTCGATTTTCAAGAGTTTTTTTTTAATTTTTTAATGTTTTACCGTCTTGTTCTAGGTTTTATTGTATCCAAAAAAAGGAGGAGGAATTTTAATTTCCAGTCTTCTTCCCAATAGTTTAGGTTTTAGTCTTTTTTTCCTTGTACTAAATGTATAAATAATTTCCATAAACATGAAAAAAGTATAACAAGCAAAAATCACAGATAATATTTTCGTTCTTCTTAAAATAAATAAGTATAACAATAATACAAGAAAAAATAACACACAATATTATAAAAAAATCCTATTAATCCATAAATATTTTAATGATAAGGGTAGAACACAGTCACAACATGACCTTAATGAAAAAATTAAAAAAGCTAAGCATTAAATGTTCCTAGCACTTCAACGGCGAATATCACCGCCCTTGATGTAGCCTCAACAAGTTCAAAAAGAAGAACACCCCCTTTCTTCAAATTGTTGTCGACAACAAATTGTTTTCACCCCTTAACAAGTCTTCTTCGAACAACAGCTTTTAGAGTCATAGTCCACTCCTTCCTATTACATCGAAGTATTGTTCTAACCGAACTAGGAGGAAGATAGTCACAAATACTCTTTGAAAGAAACTACATAAGCATAATGGAAAGATAGGGTAAAAAATAATATCATATAAACTAAAAAAAGAAAAAAAGTGAACTTACCAGATCATTGTGCCTGATGTACGATCTAGGCACGTTCATCCTAAACCATGGCAAAGAGCGATTTGTATCTATGAGCGTTGGTGATCGAAAAAGGTTCAAAGTAGGCTGGAAACTTTTTGTTTTGGACAAGTGATCGAAGAAGGTTCAAAGTAGGCTGGAAACTTTTTGTTTTGGACAATTATGTCAAGCGACGTTTCGTCGTCAAATTTACGTTGGTTGATGTTGCACCACTGTATATTGACTTCAATGTTCAAGTGAAGGGAGAAGGAACTTCTGATCATAATTCAATTGAAATTGATTAGTTTCTAGGATGTGTTTGTGTTGATTTATCCCTTTAGTATCTTTTATTTTCATGTTGATTTAGTTATGGTAGTTGTGCTTTTGATTTTCTATTTTACTATTGATGTTATCAAATTTCAATCTTCATCATATTGGTCTTCTTTGCTATAACAAATTTTTTTTATATTATTTCAAAAGATTATTTTTAAAAAAAATCAATTCTTCCGTATGAAATCAATTCTAAAGACTGTTTTTTATACTATTTTTAAATCAATTTTTTTAAAATCAATTCTTCAAGAGGGAGACTTAAGTATTCTCACCAAAAGACTTCGGTCTAGTTCTACACACTACTAAAATAGTTTTGAATTTGAAAGGGTTAGGAAGAGTAAGTAAGAGGTGTAAATACTTCATTAAGAAGTTAAATGGTTGGTATGTGAATAGTTTTGTTAGTAAATAGGATTCAATATTTACATGAAAATTCAAAAATTATAGTTATAAATATAATTTTGGTACCGAAATAATTAATACAATTCAACTAACACCATTAATTTCGACAACAACTCTATTCAAACCAAACAATATAGTTGCACCAGTAATAGGTTGTTCGTTCACTGACAAGGTTTCTTTAGGCTAACTAAAATGGAGGATTCTTTTGGCTAACTAGAATGTAAGTAATTTCAGTGGTTAAATTATTAGGCTAATTAAGAATCTTTTTTTCAAATACTGAAAAAAATACCGTTAATATTGATAGAGATTAAGCCTCTTTCGATGGAACATTGGTCTTACTATGTCCCAAGAAAATCCTCATACGAAATGGTTGTATTGAAAACCATATCTCAAACCAGATATTCTTACTGGTTGGATCAAGAGTTTATGAATAGAATTTTTGATAAACAAAATGGATGCATTGAAAACTGTAAAGACTTTTTTGAGGAGTGTAAAAGATTCATTGTAAATTGTGATTCAAATTAAATAAGAGAAATGGGAACACAATTAATTAACCCGAAACCCTAACCCTAACCCTAATCCTAAATAAATTCAAATCATAAATATTACTCTATAAATACAACTACATTATTAATCTCATCATCCAAATTATCTACTCAATTTCCAATTCTGCGAAAATAACAATGGACAGAACTCCAATGAAGAAAACCATTGATGAACCTCTTCATGGTTCTCCGGTTAACCACATCATCTTGTACCAATATGTAAGAAACCAAATGAAAAAGCTGAAGACTGAGGCGAACTTGTTTTTGCTTAGGATGACACGTGAAATTGGCGCCGAATATGTAAAAAGGCTTTTACTTGATTCCTACCCTCTTACCTGCTGTTACGACATGTTGTAGGAACTGCTCGCTGACCAAAATGAAGATAAGGATAATCATGTTATCGTTATAAGCAGTGACACTGAAACTGCCTCTAAAGCATCAAAATCTATCAATCAAAAGAAAGAGTAGAGTAATTTAAAAAGATTGGTATTTTAAGTCCTTTTGTTATGCATGCCGCGTTGTAGCATGGTATGCTAAAATTATCTTCCAAATATTATTTGGAATATGTTAAAAAGTATCAATTAATCAATAAAAATACTTATTTCATATTTTTTTACCCACTGCTTCCTTTATGTCACGACCCAAAATCTCACCACAGGCATCGTGATGGCACTTAGTCTCTAAGACTAGGTAAGCCGACTATAACAACAATTCAAGCTATTTTTTTTTGAAACATGTAATTAAATACAAGTGTCGAAACCAAAAGCGGAACCAAATATAACAACCTCCCAAGACTGGTAATACTGAGTTACGAACTCTAACTGAATACATGTAATGATGTCACGACCCAAAACTCCCACCACATGCGTCGTGATGGCATCTAGTCTCTAAGACTAGGTAAGCCGATTTCAATTACATTTTTGGATCCATTTTTTTTTAATTAAATAAGTAACCAAAACTAACAGCGGAACAAATATGAATGTACAACCTCCCAAAACTAGTAGTACTGAGTCACGAACTCTAACTGAATACATGAAATAATCACGAGGACCAGATATACAATACTGTTTGATTAAAATTAACAGTACAATGAAATGAAAAGACTTCAAGGGACAAACGACCAAGCAGCTCTACCTTGAATCCTTACGATCCCGCTTTAACTCTTCTCAAATCCGAGGTTTCCAATAGCTGGCTCTGCACAAAAATGTGCAGAAGTGTAGTATGGGTATACCACAGTCGGTACCCAGTAAGTATCAAGACTAACCTCAATGGAGTAGAGACGAGGTACAGTCAAGACACTCACTAGTCTAATAACCTGTGCAATATAATATACAAAATAATAGGAAACAAATAATAATAAGGGAGGGATAAAACAACCAGTGATATGCACAACATACAACAAGAATACCATTAATATTACTCAACAATTAATAAACACAAGTACACCCAATTAAATCAAGTCCTTTAAATAAATGTCTTTCACATATAATTCTTCCAGATAACTCTCTTTCAAATATGATTTTCTCAAATAAT